ATACTACAGGTGCATTGTGTTCATTGTTCAGCCTTTCGCTGCGCTTGCCATCAGGCGCTCTTGACCAATCTCAAAATTAAACAGCAACTGACTTTAAAGGCACATTCCACTTTTTGCAAAAAAAATATTATATGCACCAATATTGCGCATTTATTATTTTTCTTTTTTTTGCAACTTTCAAAGCATTACAGCCACCATCAGTGGCTCTTTTGCAAAACACATGTTCCTCCAGCCTAGGGTTGCCACCTTTTCTTCCAGCGAAACCCGAACACTCTAGCGATGCATGGAAATTTTTTTGGGAGAATGAGTCGTGGCTTATTCATATGTACATAGCGCCACCCATTCATATGTAAAAATCTCAGTAGAGACTATTTTTAGTGGGGGGTCAGTAGCCCCTATCTTATTTTAGTTGCCCCTGTCTGCCTGACATCATGTGTCTGGGTTCCAGCTGCCATGAAACCCGAACACAGCATTCAAAACCCGAACTGTCCGGGTGAATCCTGGACAGGTGGCAACCCTACTCCAGCCCCCGATCTGTACGGAAGTAAAGACCTGCAGTTATGGGGCTGGAGGAAGTTATCAATGAATTGATAACTCCATCAGTGTGGTGACCTCATGGCACTTGTACTTAATTGAGAACTATCAGTCCCTCAGTGTCAGATTGGAATTGTAGTTTTTTAATTTACAGATAATGTTAATATATATGCAATAATGTGTTAAGCTGAAGAAACAATCAAATATATACAGTGAAATATACAACAATGATTATAGGCTGAACTCAAACCACAGTGAAATAAAGTCCAAAAGGAATCAAATGATGCGGCGTAGATAACGAATCAAACAATGCGATGCAATGCGTACAAACAACATGAGCAGTCCTCCGATGCAGACTTTATAGTGTGCAGGACAACAGACTGTTTGATAATCCTTCACCTCCACCAAGTGAATGCACAAATTGCAAAGGAGTGCTTGCCTGGGTCTGTGGACCCACAGAGTAGGTCTCAAGTGGGTTTTCCCTTTCTTAAGAGGGGGAGGGAGGCCCGAAATACCAGAATAAAATAGAACCTTTCAGGTCGTAGATACGCTCATCAGATCGTAGAGAAAATAAGCAGAAGACACAGTATTCGATAAAAACAGGTACTCACACAATGGCAAGAAATAGTCAGCATATAAGATTTCCACAGGGGATTCCCTCAATGTACTAGAGTACACTGAAGTGATGACGTCAGATGCTCTGCCCATCGGTGGCTGTTTGAAATTTGAGCAGTTTTCGCGCTTGTGCGCCCGCTGGTGCGTGCCCAGCCTGCGTCTAGAAGGCTACCGTCCGGCCGTTTATGTACAGCCGCTGGACAGGAAGCAGGTAAAGTCCATCTCCGGGCAAAGAAAAAAATTACCCTTGCAGTGGGTCTGTCCCCTGAACTGCAAGGGTTAAGTACTTGTTTTTTCTAGGGAACTCAAATGAGGCCTCTTTCACACGGGAGGTCAGATCAGGTCCGCCTGTCAGTTTTTCAGGCGGATCTGACCGGAGGTCCAATGTTATTCTATGGGCAGCTGGATCTAAATGGATGTGCTTCCTTTTAGACCCGATTTACCCGACTCTGTCTACGTCTGGAAAAAATAACAGAACAGAGTTTAATTTTGGCGGATCTGATTGTGACGGATTGGGGGTACTCTGATGTAAACAGACACATGTCCACTTACATCTGCTTCCCCATGGACCTAACAAACTGACCTTACACGGGTCTGTAAAAACCGAAAGGACATGGGTGTCACAAGAGCAACATCCGTCCCGTACTGATCTGATCAGCAGGGGATCTGTGCACGGATACCCTGCAGATCTGAACAGACAGCGCCCATGTGACAGGGACCTAAAGCTGTTTCACTTACCTGATCCCAGATCCTGTGGCGGTCAGCGCTCACCTTTCTTCTCCTATGCTCCGAATGTTGAAATATCAGAGTCCTCACGTCTAGGCCAGTGGACCTGCATAAGATGTGATGACGTCAGCGGTCCATAGACTGCCAGAGTTAAGGGCAGAAGAGGCTACAGGGATGGTCTAGCAGCCTGTAGGGAGACGGCAGAACCGAAGATCAGGCAAGTATAACAGCTTTTATAGTGTCCCCTAGACAAGACGAGCGATGGGGTCAGGGGAGATGCGCTTAAAGGAGATTATACAATCAGATTGTACAGTGTATGCTCAGCCTAAAGCTAGCCATACACTAGTAGATTTCTGAACTAAAGATCCTTCTTTACCACCCAATAATGGCATCAGACACTTGGAGGGTTATTCACAAAGCTTCCGTAGGCAGCCAAGTGAACACCCAACCTGAAGAGAAGTGAGCCGGACACTGTTCGGCTATTCACTACAGGCTTGTAGGGCTGATTTCAGCCGTACGACGGTTGAAATCAGCTGTAAATCGGCTGGCTTCGGTTCGGCTGAGCCGAAGTGCAGAGGGAGTTCGACTCAGCCGATCCAACATCTGGATGTTGGATCGACCGAACCTCCGTGAGTGATAAATGATCAATGAAAAAATAAATAAAGATTTCAAAAAAGAAAAAAAAAATATTGAAAAAATTAAAATAAAGATTATTGAAAAAATAAAAAACAATGAAAAACAAAACAAATAAAAAACCCCGAAACAGTTAGGCGGAGCTAGCAGTGACAGCTAGCTCCGCCCAAATGTTTCCTATTGGCTGGGACCTGCTATTTGGCACCAGGTAATCTGATCTGGGGGCGCTGATCTGTTATTGCAACTGGCCGGAGACAGCCGTGAGATCACGGCTTGGTTCTGCCCAGCTGTCAGTTGCAAGGCTTTCGGCCCGCCTATGGCCGGCCCGCTTTGGGTTACACCTCGGCTCAGTTAAGCCGAAGCATATGCCTTCGGCTTGGCTGAGCCGCTCGGCCAGCTTCGGGAGCTGTACAAGCTATAATGAATAGCCTGTACAGCAGCCCTTCGGTTCTACTGCTCCGGTGGCCAGAGCAAGCCGAAGGATCAGCCGGAGCTATGGCTGATCCTTCAGCTAGCTTTGTGCCCAACCCTATTGATGAGTGTCAAACAAAATGTTGGCTTTGTTTGAACATTCGATTTTGGAATGAATGGAGTTTCCAAAACAAAAACCTTATGCACTGTTAGAATTTCGTTCATGCGTTCCAGAAATTTTTCCATCCTGCACCTTCGTTTTTTTTGTCACTATGGTCGAAATCAATTATTGATTTGACCCCATCAAAGTCAAACGTAAGAGCTTTTGTATATAAAAGTTTGTTCGGAAATCTACTAGTGTATGGCCAGCTTTAGGGTCACCCTACAGGTTACAATCTGACCATACAATCTCTGGACAATGAACTTTTGATTTACCAAAGTTATGTAATATGAGGGGCTACCTAATCTAGCCAAACGATTTGTTTCCAATTAGGCATAGCCTTGTACTACTCTTGTTGGTAGATCTAAGGCACCATACACACACGCTCAAAAAAGTTCCGGGAGCTTCTCTGGGGCGTTTTTGCGCATGTTTGGCCCCATAGACTAGAACGGAAAAATCTGAAAAACGTGCAACATATATTTTTGTGCGTGGTTTTGCACATTTTTGGTCGTGTTTCCCCATTGTCGACAATGTCTTTGATCTGCTAGCCAAGACATCTTCATGTGAGCATGTGAACGTTTAAAGTGCGTGAAAATATGCAAAACCCCCCCACGCAAAACACACTAAAAGAAAACGGGTGCAAAAACGCTGACGCCTAGGTGTGAACACAGGCTAAAGGTCCCCACACACCTTACGATAATCGTACGATAATTGCGGGAAATCCCGCGATCGTACGATTATCGTAAGGTGTGTGGAAGCCGTGCGACCTCTACTACTGTAAGGTCGCACGACTTTAAACTTACGGACATGTTTCAAAACCCGCCGAGCGTCGTACGAAGTTCGGCGGGTCTGTAGCATGTTCGTAAGATAAAAGCCGGACGGGCCGGTGTGCGCAAGCGCACACTGCCCGTTCGGCATTGCGGTCATCGGAAGCCCGCCCCTCAGGGGGCGTGGCTTGCGATCATCGCAAGTACGATCTGCCTAGGCAATATAGGCAGATCGTACGGTTTTTTTAAGTACCTTACAACCATCGCAAGACAAAAGTCTTGCGATGGTTGTAAGGTGTGTGCCCAGCCTAAAGCTGATTGTACAATCAGAATGCGACCTGTGTGGCGGGCTTTAGGGGGAAATTGGTTGGTATAGGAGACTTTGCCTTATTAAATAAGCTTTTATTTTGCACACAGTGCCATGAGTCCTGGATTCTCTATTTGTAATCCCAGTATCACCGCAGAGTCCGCAGGTGACCGTATCTGACACCTGACTCCGGATGGTGTCCCTTTCCTTTGCAGCAGATACTCTTGCATGGGCCTGACGATCACCATCTGCTGTGTTCGTGCCACCTTCCTGCCAGGAACACTATAGCGCATTCTCGGCCGCAGAATGGGTTAAAAGTGAGCCAAACATGATGCTCCCAGTGCGAGTTGGGCAGGAGAAGATGCCGGAGGGCAGACAATGACAAGAACACACTCCACTGAAGAGAGAAAACTATCAGCTACAGTGTAACAATCCCCTCCCCTCCTGTATAAAAAAAACGTTTAACTGAAGGCGAGTAGGGAACCAATAAGGTGGGAGGGCCTTATCTCTTTTTTTTCAAGCTGATCTGAAGCTCCGCCCCATTCTGGAAAACCAAAAAGGTAAAAAAAAAAAAAGTTAGCCGATCTCCTCCACCTCTCCTCGGCCTTGCACGTCATGCTGTTTTCCTCCATCTCATGCCAGTCGCCGCCCCTTTCTCTCCCAGCCCCCGCCTCTTTGTTCCAGTCCCCGCCTCCTACTCCCAGTCCCCTCCTTATTGTCGAGTGTTGTTTGTTTTTTTTCCTTCCACCTTCACTCCATCTCCGTTTCTATATAAGCTTCCCGGACCGTGCCCGGACAGATCCAGAGAGAGGAGACTCAGCCCCGAACATCTTCCTGCCGTTCCGTAGCGATCACCATGGCCACTTTCAACATCGCGCTGCAGGAGGACAGTATGTCAGCGCTGCCAAGGCTGGCACCGAGCTCCGCTGGACGGGGTGTGTGCCGAAGCTTGTTTGGCCCCATCGATCACGACGAGCTGCGATCGGAGCTCAAGAGGCAGCTGAAGGAGATCCAAGCCTCAGACTGTCAACGCTGGAACTTCGATTTCGAAGCCGGTGCCCCCCTGAAAGGCACTTTCTGCTGGGAGCCTTTGGAGAGCAAGGAGATGCCAAGCTTTTACAGGGAGAGCAGGCTTTGCCCTGCCACCACTACTCCTGCGCCCAGGCAGCAGCAGCTACAGCAGAGCCCCCTGTGCAGCAGGCTGGCAGTGACACAAGGAGATGCCAGGGAAGAAGCACCAGCAGAGGCAGTTGGCCCACGAGAAAGCCCCAAATGCGCAAAGGAGAACGCGGATAAGGCTGTCAAGAGATGCCAGGGAGTTAAAGGGCCAAGCAAGTTCTCAACTCGGCTCAGGAAAAGGGAGAGCTGCCTTGTCATAACCGGTAAGATCGCTCAATGCTTTATAACGGGATCTAACGCCATAAACTTGGCCATACCCTGGTAGAATTCCGTTCTGCAGAGCATTCCATTTTGCCATCCTTGGGTCAACTTTGAAAGACCTTAAAAAATGTATTCCGGACCTTCAACTTAAATGGAATACTGGGTGTATTAGACAGGTTTCTGTTAAATTTAGCGCATGCACATCACAGATCATTGCGTCAAAAATTGCAATCGCAGGTAGAATTGCGTTCGTTCAGATGAGAAACATTTTCCATCCAACTCCTCCAATTTTTCTGGTCGGTACAGTCGAAAGTGAATGTCCATTAGACCCCGCTGACTGAAAAATTGAACAAACATTCCGAAAATTAAAATGTCCGAACAAAATTCTTCTAGTGTATGGCCATCTTTGGTGTGTAAAAAACGATCCGATAGACTGAGGTGCTGGCTAGTTAGATGTCAATATACTGTAAATGTATAGATAAGTATTGGAGGTAGGCTGCCTTTATTTGTTAGATATCAATATAATGTATATGTAAAAATAAGTATTGGAGGAAGGCTGCCTTGTTCCGTTGAATATCAATATAAATGTATTGATGAGTATTGGAGGAAGGCTGCCTTTTTCCATTAGATATCAATATAAATGTATTGGAGGTAGGCTGCCTTGTTCCATTAGATATCAATATAAATGTATTGATGAGTATTGGAGGTAGGCTGACTTAATTGGTTAGATATCAATATGCTGTATATGTGTAAATAAGTATTGGATGTTGGCTGCCTTTTTCCGTTAGATATTGATATAAATGTATTGATGAGTATTGGATGTAGGCTGCCTTGATTGGTTAAATGTCAGTATAAATGTATGGATGAGTATTGGAGGTAGGCTGCCTTGATGGGCAAAATATCGATATAAATGCATTGATAACTATTGGATACAGGCTGCCTTGATCATTTTTTTTATATCAGTGTATAGGTAACTATTGAAGGTTGGCTGCCCTGATCAACCGATCAGATAACAATATAAATGTATTGATAACTATTGAAAGCTGGCTGCCTTGATCGGTTAGATACCAATATAACTGTATTGATTCCTTGACCAGTTAGATATCAATATAACTGCATTGATAACTATTGGATACAGACTGCATTGATACTTTATATATTGATATTAATGTATTGATAGCTATTGAAAGTTGCCTGCATTGATCGGTTGAATACCAGTATAAATGTATTGATAGCTATTGGAGGTAGGCTGACTTAAATGGTTAGATATCAATAAACATTTATTGCTAACTAATAGAGGTAGGCTGCCTTGATCGACTTGATGTTTTTTTGTTTGTGATAGAAGGTCTTTTTTTAGTACCATATGGCCGTATGATTGATAAATACTGAAAAGTGTGCTGACATTTGAAATAATAAACCTTGATTGCTTGCTGTAGCAGCTCCAACTCTGTGTGATGTTTAATGTCTCCTGATTGTTGTAGCAAACAAACCTCAACATTCCCCTAATCAAGTTTATTTATTTTCCTTTCAGACTATTTCCCCAAGAGGAAAAGGCAACAAGCTCCCAAAATCGACAGTCAAAAATCAGTCAACGCCATTTGCACTTTGGAACAGACCCCCAGAAAAAAAATCAGATGAAGCTCCGGTGAGTAATCCAGGGGTGGGATCCATGTAGAATATACAGCCAAATAATCCCAATCTCTCGTGTCTGTAAATAGAACGTAAATTACAAATGTGACCTGAGGACAGCTTGGTTTGTGGCTTGGGGGGGGGTATGGCAGTAATTTGCAAAAGTGCAGGATTGTCTTTCTGAGGTTGTTTTGGTTGTAGAAAGTGGGAGTTTGCTCTTTTTTTTTTTCATTGCAGTTACTCAATCTCTTTAGCTCCTCCTTGGAAAGTTCTTTTAAAGAAGAAAAAAAAAAAAGTTGCAAAACAAGCTGTGCTGGCGGGAAAGGCGGGAGGGGGGGTTACAAGAAGGGAAGAATGTGGGGGAAGGGAGGCAGAGCTGGAGAGAGAAGCCTGTTTGCAAGATAAACAAGGGCAGGGTCTTCTATTGGCAGGGAGCTGGAGGAGAAGAGAGGGCAAGGGGAGAGGAGATTGAGATGTTCCATAACACTGCTGCCTGTGTATGCTCGTGCACACACTGTATAATAATAACCGTATTTTTCTTCAATGTTTCAGGTTCATTTCATGAAAGGCCAGAGAGGATTGAAAAAAAAAACAAACACCTCTCTCCCGTCTCCCTTACCAGATCAAGGAGCAAAGGGGAAAGCGAGACTGCAAAAGAGAACTCTTTATATGCTGGACTGCAGCGATCGTTTTAACGAGAACGCTTGCGAGGAGGTGGTCGGTCCAGCTTGGAATGTGGACTCAATCAGAGCGGTGTTTCCCAGCTCCCTTTGTATTGCACGCACTGTGATACTTATCCGCACTCAATATTTGGATGTCTATTCTAGCTTTTGTTTTTTTCCTTTACACAAAAAAAAATCACACACACAAAAAAAAAAGATCAGATTATACTTAACTGAGAAAAGAAAGTAAGATCGGTGAGGTGGTCTGCACCTATGCTGTAAATGTACCTACCACCTGTGCAAAACTGTATTAGAGGGGATGGCAACTTTGTTTTTTTGGTTCTCTAACTTCACGGCCCCTCTTAGGCTTTGGCTAAGGCTACACGAGTGATTAAATCTCTTTGTTAGCACCCGATGCAACATCGCACGTACGCTGTAAGCGTGTTTTTGCTGTGTTGCCCACCTCATCTGAATCGCAATAAAGAAGTGCATGACCTTTTTTGAAATCAAATTGCACCACAAAACATAAAAATACATTACCATGCGTTGTGGTGCGATTAAAGGCATATGCAACAGCTAGGTGCGCTGGGGTGCCACTAGGAAAGGATGGTACTGTATTGCACCCAACAGTGTCATGCACCATCTTGTGCAATGCGTAAATGTGAACAGGGGGCTTACTGAGAGATTTAAGCACTTATAGGCAAGTTATCCAATATGCAGCACTCTTAAATAAATGTGATGATAATGAAATAAATTACAACAAGCATCTAAATCTCTCAGTAGCAGAGAGATTTGGGCCCCATTCTCACTTGCGATTGGGTGAGTCTCACAAATTGCTCTGGAATACTCATGCCAACAGCTGTGGGCCGGAAGCGCTATACAAATCATTGACAGTTGACAGCAACCGCATGTGTTTATCGTGTGGATATGCTGTGATTACCCGCGGATGACCCCCCCCCTGGACGCAACATGGGCACCCCTGGGTAATTGCAGCATGTCTGATTACATGGGAACGGCTATTTGCTTGAGTCTCACCCATTCGGCCTCTGTAAACGAGGCCTTGCCCGTGTAACGCTAGGCTTATTCTGAATTTGAGGAGTTGTAATGTAACAACACAAGTTGGTTTATTTTATTAAAAAAAAGTCGTTCTGAGTTCTAACCCTGGAAACCGGTCAGCTTTCATGAGCCCATCACTTGAGGCTGCTGACGGCTCCTATCTGAATGGCTTCCATGGTTTATTGCATGCCACTGCTTTTAAATTTTAAATAAGACCTGCTGGTTCCCAGTTGTAGCTTATGCAAACCAATAGACATGTACAAACCTTATATGTAGCATTTGTTTGTATAATCATGTTTTTTAAGCAACTATGTAACATAAAACAAAAAGATAAGTTATATATTTATATAACGTGTTGGATTTATTCCAATGTTAAGCCATAATATTGGCTACAAAACGGTTATAGAGATTATACGTATGTCTCCATTTGGAGAGATAAAAAGTATGTGTTCAATAACTATGCATGTACAGTTCTTTACTATATTTTATTGTGATTGTTTGTTTTAATTTGCAAAAAAACCTAATGTACAGAATATTGCTATATCAGCAATGAAAAGTAAACTATATGACTTTTATACCTATATTTTCTTGTTTGAGTAGTTTCTTTGCAGTTTAATAGTTGGGGGTGATGGGCGTGTCCTGGGTAATTAAACTTCAGTATCCCAGGAGTGGACCAATTAATATGGAATGTAAGAGCCAGACTGTCAGATCCAGGAGCTAACAGGACTTTTTAGGAGCTGGCTCCAATGACAACAATTAGAGAAAACCTCAAAAGTTTTTAAGAAGCATTGGCTACCTAGCACCTGGAATTTTGTTCAGCACTGCAGTAACCTATGACACTCAATTAGAATCTGACTGTGGTGAGTCAAAAACTGATTGCTGTGGGTTACTACTAAAGATGAGCTCAGGTTCCGTCCGGGTTTGCACCAAACACATGTTCATTGAAACCCAGAAGGAAGCTGCCAGTGTCAGCCCAATCAGCTGCGGCCAGGGCATTCCCTGCTCCACAGCTGCACGTAAGCAAAGGGGAGGGATGCTGGTTATCGGCCATATAAGGTCAAAGTCACTGACCAAATATGGCCATGTGGCCTTATAAGGTCTATGATGTCACCAGCATCCCGTCCCTTTGTTTACATGCAGATGCAGGGCAGGGAATATCCCAGCTGCAGCTGATTGGGTGGCACTGACAGCTTCCTTTTAGGTTCTGACCGAATCCATGCTCATCCCTAGTTCATACACTACTACTGAAACGGGTCTGTGATTGGTTGCTTCTGGTAACTACCATTTTGTTGTGGTTGGAGTTTGGTACTACATGAATCTGGACACATTTAGGTTGATTTACTTCCGTAATAAAGACGGGTCACTTAGTTTAGTAAATATGATTAAACTGTTTCACCATGACTCCCTAATCACATACAAGTGAAATAAAATAATGGATTTTCCTTCACATGATTGGATGACTGAAGTGAACATGTATGTATAGCAGTGACGTGCGGTACCTTTTGGTTTCGGGTGAGGCATTCCCCAGCCTCACCCCCAGCCCGATGAAGCCCTGCCCCAGCCAGCTGAAGCTCCAACCCCATCTGCAAAAGCCCCAGGACCCAAGCTAGTGTGAAGGAGGGAGGAGACGGAGGAGCCTCCCTGTCCCTCACTTGTTCGTCAATGCTGAGGCATCGAGATTGATAGCCTCAGTGTTTGTTTGTTTTTCCTTCTTTTTTTGATTGGACAGCTTGGATCAATGTCAGTCTCTACAGATCAGAGACTGTGACAGCTCTTGCCTCACTAGTTAGGTTACACAAGCAGTGGGGAAGTCCGCTGCTGCGTAACCTAACTTACCTCTCAAAAGCCGGATGCAGCGCTGCCTGTAATTAACAGGCAGCACTCCACTCCATCCATGACAGGTTACACAGGCTTTCCCTGCTGTATAACCTGCTAGAAGCCGGTCTGAATGGAGAAAAAGCTGACAGCTTCAGACTTGAAGCTGACAGCTTTTTCCTCCATAATACTAGGTGAGGCCCTGCCTTCCCTGACCGCACGTCCCTGATGCATAGCATAAAACTTTTTTCCATTTGAGAGTAGAGAATGGTTACAACCCTTGAGACGTTTTCAGTGCTGCCTGTTTTACCTTTACGTAGATTCACCCCCTTTTTTTATTTAGGACTCATTCAGACGGCATGCATGCCCATAAAAAGACCTGATCTCGGAAGGGACAGGTGCTGCGTGTAATTGCATGCAGCCGCCTGTTTTTCCCTATGGGAGGACGCGCCTGCACGCAATTAGACACTGTCACTTGCAAACTCAAACCTGCACAACTGTGTGGGTCTAGGTGTTCACACTTGGACAGTGTGTGCGCAAATACAGGAAGCACATGTCCCTTCCAGGATCAGGTCTTTTTACGAGCGTGCATGCCTTACGGACGTGTATGCCTGTCTGAATAAGCCCTTTTTCTGGTGACTGTTATTGTCAAGATAGAAAATAATGGGAAATTCACCAATAAGAGATGAGGGTAAATCTTTCAATGGGACACTCTTCTCTCCTTGTAGAAAATTGCTCCTAAATCATGTTGTGGATCTTGGACATGAAGTATAGGGAAATCTTCCCAATGGAACACACACAGCAAGGAATAAGGCCACATGCACATAACCGTAAAAAAACTAAACCTTAAAGTGCAGCATGTTTTGTTTATGGATCGGAATAAAGGTGTATTGTTTTCAATGAGTATATGCACACAGTTGCGAAAACATGCGCTGTGTTCAGATCCGTAACACAATTGAAAAATCTGTCTCTAAAGGTGCCCACACACCTTACAATTTATCTGCAGATTTTCTGTGGTCAGATGGAAAAAGTGCAACAGATTGGCCCAGATGGAGATTACTCCATCCACACAGTTAAGTGTAGATGGAGGAATCTGTTGCACCTTTCCCATCTGACCACAGAAAATCTGCAGATAAATTGTAAGGTGTATGGCCAGGTTAAGTTAGGGTTGCCACCTGTGTGGGATTCACCCAGACAGTCCAGTTTTTGAGTCCTGTGTCCGGGTTTCATGCCAGCTGAAACCCAGACACAAGACGCTAAGTGCAGACAGCAACACTTTACATTTTTTGATAAATGTGGCTGCCAAGGTCCCCAGCAATTGGGGGACCTCAGGCAGCCGCATCTGCCTGAAGCTGCATCCTCCTGTGAGCTGCGGGCGCCTGTAAACAGGCGCAGGCTGGCCCACACATCTCCTCCTTTGTTTTATGACACCACGCTGCCTGCCTCCACACCCCTGGTGAGACACCGCACAGCCTGCACAGCACCCTGAAAGCCTGCATAGCCCACCTGAGTCCCCACACAGCCACCTGAGAGCCCGCATAGCCCACCCAAGAGTGTGCATAGCCCACTTGAAAATCCGCACATCTACCTGAGAGTCCACATAGCCCACCTGAGAGTGCGCATTGCCCACCAGAGAGCCCATATAGCCCACTTGAGAGCCAACAAAGCCCACCTGAGAGCGTGCATAGCCCACCCGAGAGTCCGCACATCCTCCTGAGAGCCCATGGAGTCCACCTGAGAGCCCACGGAGTCCACCTGGGAGTCCACCTGAGAGCCCGCACAGCATGGTGCCACCCCGTAACAACACAGAGTATGTAGCTTCATATAATTTGTATTGCTGTAAAATGTATTGCTGGTATTTGTAGTCCTCTATAGTCAGTCTCCTTACTCCCTCCCCTGTCTGTCTCTCCTCGCTCTCTCCTCTATATTCTAAAAAACAAAATTGCTTGCACAGTGTTAGAGTGTTCGGGTTTCACTTGAAGAAAAGGTAGCAACCCTAGTATAAGTGCATACATTTTATATGCCTACACATGCAAACAATATGTGCGCATATCCTGTCTTCCTTTAGTAAAAACCCCATACTGTGGTACACATTGAAGTGACCTTAGTGGAATTCATGCTTTTCATGAATCAGTGTGCAGAATTAGCAAATTGTCTCCCCTGGGTTATGTTTTACCCTGAAATATTTCTACTCACTTCATTAGCGTAATGGGGTTTACCCACCCCATTACGCTAGTGATAAATAAAAACAATGTAAATGACCTATCAGACCTCAAATGCACCCAAAATGCTTTTTTTTAGCTGCCTGGTTAGCCCATGAGAGCAGT